AACCCTGCCTGTTTTTCAGTCACCTAGCGAATCTCCCCCGGCTTTTCCAGGGAGACAGGGCCCCCCGTTCACCCCCCCCCCCCCCACCAGGGACCCCTCCGCCCACCCTCCCACAGAACTTCCCCTCTGCCCAGATCCCTCCCCCACCCCCCACAGAACTTCCCCCTCTGCCCCAGATCCCTCCCCCCCAGGCCCCCGCCCACACCCCACCCCAGGGACCCCGGCCGCCTTAGGGTTGCCCCCCTGCCCCTCCCTGGACCGCTCTGCCCACCACACAGAAGCAAAGAAGGACAAGCCCATTTTTCTCCTTTCCAGTAGTGGTGACTACAGCTCACCAGTGCTGGCTGCACAGCGTGCTGGCCCGCAGCTACAGCCGAGGCGCCCATGGGGTTAACGGCAAGGGCAGGTGCAGACTACTCCTTTTTACACAGCATTATATCAGCGTTCCTATGTCCCGTTTGTAGGGTGACCAGACAGCAAATGTGAAAAATCGGGACAGGGGTGAGTGGTAATAGGAGCCTATATAAGAAAAAGACCCAAAAACCGGGACTGTCCATATAAAATCAGGACATCTGGTCACCCTGCCTGTTTGGGTTTCATGCATGCTCCTGCCATGACAGGTTGGCACGCAGTGAAACAGAAGGGGTGCCACCATGCCAGCAGGCCTGGGAGCTAAAGCCAAAGTACACCCCACCCAGAACACCGGTGGCCAGCACCATCTCCCAGGCTCCCTCCCTGCCTGTGCCACACAGGGCTGGCCACAGAGCGCTTGCCTGCCAGCCCCTGGACACAGACCAGGTCTCCTGGCTGGAGCTGCTATGCCAGGAGCAAGAGGGACATGGTGCTGCCCAGCCCCCAGCAGGGCAACACCCCTTCTTGTAAACACTAGGGCTCATTTATCAGGCAGCAGTAGGAGCTGGGAAATCCCATCTAATTCCCAGCATCAGCTGGCCCCGCTCACATGACATGGTGCTGGGCTGGGTCTGGCATTGCAGGGCCAGTGCTGTTCCCTGCCCTGGGTTCAGTCCAACTTTCTCCTGCAAGTAATTTACAAACACAGCTGCACCCTGGGCCAGAAGGGCTGAAACCCCACAGCGCAGCATCCACCACGGCACCGCCCAGGGGATTTAACACCTTCAGTGAAACCCAGCCAGCGTCAGCCACGCAGCCTAGTCACCCAGAGCTCCCAGCCGCCCAGCATAGCCCCCGCATACCGCACACCCCTCCCCAGGGCACAGCAGCTCCCAGGAATACCCCCGTCACGGAGTGTGGGGGAGTCAAGGCCCTGCACTCCTCTTCCTGGGATTCACCATGACTCTCAGCCAGCCAGTAAAACAGAAGGTTTATTAGATGACAAGAACACAGTCCCAAGCAGAGCATGTAGGTACAACCAGAACCCCTCAATCAAGTCCTTCTAGGGGGTTTAGGGAGCTTAGAGATCAGCTTGGGGTTCCCTGCGTTGCACCACCCAGCCCAAACTGAAACTAAACCAAAACTCCTCCAGCAGCTCCTCTCTTCCCCCTCCCCCCAGCTCCTCCTCTCCTTTGTTCAGTCTCCCGGGCAGAAGGTGTCAAGTATCAGAGGGGTAGCCGTGTTAGTCTGAATCTGTAAAAAGCAACAGAGGGTCCTGTGGCACCTTTAAGACTAACAGAAGTATTGGGAGCATAAGCTTTTGTGGGTAAGAACCTCACTTCTCCAAGGTGTTATTTCTCCCAACCCCCCTCCTGGCTCAGGTTACAGCTCAGGTAGCTTCCTGCAAGGGAGGTGCCTCATCCTCAATGCAACTTCCCTGCAACATTCCCAGGTCAAATCCGCCCACTCCCTGCTCCGTCACCCCCCCCACACACACACACAGAAACACCGGAGTGGGTGCTTCCTTCCGTCCTGGCGAGAGACACAAGCCCCCATTTATCCCCAGGTGCAGTACAGCTGCAGTGCCAGCTTCCCATCGGGCAATACTCCTCCTTGGGCTGGGGCCACCCTTACGAGCGGGAAGGGGGTGTGACGAAGTGGGAATATTCGGTAATATTTTTAGGTGGTCTGTTTGTGCCTCAGTTTCCCCCAGATGCTGCATTGTTGCCCCCTGTTTGCTCTCCAGGCAGGCTGAGACACACAGGTGGGTGGTGCCCAGATTTCCAGACCCTAACCCCATATCAACAGAGCAGCTGAGAAGACAACGGCAAAGCCAGTTGCCTGGACATTGACACCTAGCAACCAAGGACCCAGAGGGATGTGGACTTTCCTGCCTCTCCTTGGGGAGGCTTAACAGCCTTGCCCCAGCCCGAGATCCATGGGGGTAAGTGCTGGCTGCTGGAAGGAGCCAGGGCTCTCACCTAGTGACCAAGGTGGTCAGACGGACAGCCAGTGCTGGAACCACGGGGGTCACTAGGCTCGGCTGGGCTCTGGGTCGACCAGACCAGACAATGCTCTAGGCTCCCCTCAGGCCGGCCTGTGCCACGTGCGAGGCACAGAACCAGCTCTTTCACAACACGGCATGCGCATCAGTGCCCACACAGGGCCAGGCGCATGGGCCCCTCTAAGGGAGGAGCCTCCCTCAGGGTCTGGCTCAGTGGGGTGAGCAGAGCGGAGCGAGGGGCTGCAGGCCCAGAGGCCCAGTCCAAGGCGGCGGTGTGGCCATGTAGCTACCCCAAGGCAGAGCGAGACCCCTCGGGGGTCAGGCCCACTGAAGGGTTTGCCCTAGAACTGTTCCAAAGCTGGGGCCAGGCATCGCTCCTGTGAGTCCGGGACCGGGGGCTTATTTGTCCTCAGTCTCTCTGCTCAGACTCACCCTGACCAATCCCACTGTTGAGCGGGTGTCTGGAGACCTCGATTCCCCACTTTGTGGGCCCTGCACTAGCGGCACCTTCCAGGCAGAGCCCAGTTCAACGTGCAGCAGGAGTCAGATGGCAAGGGCAGCTGCCCCAGATCTATTCTAATGCTGTTACATACAGGGCTGGTGTTTCCCTACAGCGAGTCCTGCTGGTCACAGGACTCTGACCAAGTCACAAGGATCCAGAGGCGGATGAGGAGCAGAGCTCTGGGGAGCAGGGAGATGAGAGACCTGGGCCGTTCAGTAAGAGGTGGGACCCCCAGCACCATCACTGCGGGGCCAGAGGGACAGACTAAGGGGCCAGAGAAGGCCCCCAGGCTAGTCACCCCACCGCATAATATGACAGTGGGGCACTCAATGAGCTCAGAGCTCTGTCCCTGGTGACCTAGAGAGCCGCAGCCTCCCTCACTCAGAAGAGCTGGAGGAGAGGCCCACCAATGGCTAGTAGCCACGCTGGTCAGGGACACAGCCCCTGTGCTAGGGGTCCCCAACTGCCAGAACTGGGGACCGGATGACAGGGTGGATCACTCCATGATTGCCCTGTTCTAGCCACGCGCTGATGCTCTGGCCCTGGCAGTAGACAGGATATAGATGTTCTGGAGTCCCTGCCCTCCCCACCTTTGGGACACCACAAGGCCAGTTTGCTATTTGCAGCTGAGTGTGGGGACAGCAGTGGGTTTCGCAGGGATCAGAAGGAGGCGGGGTTCCTGGCATGGCGCCCTAAGGCACATGCTGGGCACTCTGCTACAGCTAAACGAATGACAGGGTTCTAGGCACATTAGCACCTTGCAGGCGACCGTAACAGACTGCGCTGTGGCCCTGAGCCACCTAACGCCGGCCTGTCCTGTGCAGGTGGATGGCCAAGGACCCCTCTAGAGCATCAATCACAGCAGCAGCTGCAATGCACGAGCAGCACTGCACTGCAATGTTCCAGGAGCTCTCGGCCCTCATGCTTCGGGGTACAAACTGCTCACCAGCTTGAGAGGCGTGGGGCGGGCCAGGGGATCCTCCCCCTGGCTAGGACATCAGCAGGCAGAGATTTACAGCCCATCCAAGGCACTTCGAGCACCTTCCACCCCCACCCACCCACACAGTTATGAGCATTCTCCTGCCAGACCTGGGACCCCAGACTAACTAGGAGATCTGCTACCGGACAGCCGAGGCAGGCAATTCCAGATATGATGGGCTACCTCCTCCCTCTGACCCATTGACAGGCTCCCTGGCACCAGGAATCTAAGCATTATTCAGCCAGCGAGAATGCAGAGACTGGCATGGAGGAGGACAGGGGGCGGCTGAGCTGAAAATCTCCAAGCACGCCGGTGGAAGGGAAGGGGAGGGACAAGACCCCAAAACAACCCAGGACAGAAACAAGGCCTCCTGACCTAAGTCACTTGCCCCATGCCTTGTCCCCACAGGGCACGTGAGGTCTCAGTCCAAACCAGATGCCCTCCCCAGCACGGGCGTCTCAGATACATACGGCCCTGGGTGGCGTCGGTTTAGGGTGTCAGTGCCTGCCAATGCCACAGCAAGCAGAGTCCGTGCGCAGGCCTGGTGGTCCCGGAGCTGTGCGGAGAGGAAGGCCCAGATCAGGCCGTTATCTTCTCAGCCACCGGAGCAGAGCGGGGGGGGGGGGGGTCTCCTCCCCAGAGCGGAGCCCGATTCCCGAGCGGGGCGGCGGCACAGCTTGCTGAGTCACTGGCTGAAATGCCAGGCAGAGTCCACAGCGCAGCAGTTTCCTTCTCAGCGGCCTCCAGCCCTGCCTGGAAGATACCCTTCTCCCAGCTGCAATAAATAAACCCGCTCCATCCAGGGGGCGGGAGAGAAACCCGCCGCCAGCTTCAGCTGTCAGGCAGCGACGCAGCGAGCGGCAGCAGGTCTAACACGGCTGCTCTCCGCCAAACGAGCCCCCTCGAGCGCCCCACCTCGCTCTAATCCTGCTGGGTCCTTCGCTATCTTAATCCCACGCCTGTGACATCAGCCACACACAGCCAGGCCCCCGCAGGAGCGAGCTGGACAAAGCTGCAGCCATCACAACTCCGAGTCCGAGATGCACACCAAAACCTCCCCCCTTCTCCTAGCGTCAGCAGCCAAGCGCACCTCCCCAGCCGCAGAGACAGCACTACGGGACGATCCCAGGCAGCACTGCCCGGGGGCCCTGAGGAGCCCCAGCGCATTGCTGGCAGTCACACCCATTGCTGCTGCGCTGCCTGCCCAGGGTGCAGACAGGAGAGCGTCACACACTGCAGCAGAGGGCTGGAAACAGGCAGGAGAGAGGAGTGCAGCGCAGGTACCTATGGACACCGCCACAAAGCCGCCCAGGAAGCACTGAAGCCTGGGGAGCTACAAACAAGTAAGGCTGGAAGAAAATCACGGCCTGCAACTGTTAACACCATAACTTTCTACAGCTCGTGGCCCCCTGCACCAGGTCACACCAAATCTGGCCCAGCCACCCTCCGTCACGTCAGCCTTCGAGAGCCAAGCAGGACACAGGGCGTCTCCGCTGTACTGCTGTCCTGCCGTGAACCGCAACTTTAACAAACTGCAACTGCACATTTGGAACCAAGGAATCGCAACGTTCCAACAGCCTGAACCACCCGAGACCAGCAGGAATACCAGCTCCCAGCACCTGGGCGTGGCACGCCGAGGAACCTCTCCTTTGATTGCTCAGCTCCAAGAAAAGCACCTTGCTCGATTTGCAGCCAAAGGCTGCTGGCGTGGGCTAGTGCCCGAAGCAGGAACCCAAATGAAGTGAAGGGGCTGGCAGTCCCTGCTTGGCTGGACCAGAGCACCAGGAAACCAGCAGCACAAGGAGGAGGCTGCGGGGTGACAGCAGGGCCTGGGAGTGCCTTGGATACAAAGGGGGGTTGCAGGTAGCGAGAGGTGGTGTAATCCCATCACAGGACAGGAGGAGGGGCTGTCACCACCATGGGGGATACTAAGTCCCCACAGCACCATTTCCCAGGCCAAAGGGGTGGAGTATTTCCCGGCCAGGCTTTGCGGGAAGTGCCAATAAGCAGCTTTGCTCTAACTCTCTGTAATTCCACCACACAGCCTATTTACGGCATCCGAAATCCTAATCCTGTCACCTCAGCGAGGCACTGCGAGTCCTGGGGGCACTGAACCCCTATGGGCATCCTGAGGGGGCTCCCCATCCCCAGGGTCAGCCCTCCTGGGTGACTTGGATCAGTCTCACCCAGTGACTCCTGCAGCCGGCCCCTAATCCTGGGCTGAGCTAGAACAGAGAGCTTGGAAAGATCCAGTCTGGGTTTACAGACTCCATGTGGGGGCCCCAGGGGAGCAGCTCCAATGGCTAATCACCACTGCCAACATCTGCCCCTTGGGGTCTCGGTTCAGCTCCCAGCCCTGGAGCGTCTGCTACATGCGCCTCACTAGCCTGGTGCCTTGCCCATTCCACGCTGCTCCATGGCCAGAGGGGAACATGGATCTAGGCTGAGCTCCTGGGTAACAAGCCGGAGAACTGCCCTAGAGCAGCTCAGAGCTTTGAAAGCAGTGCGCCCATCTCCAGACTCAGGCAGACTGCACTGGGTGAGGGGTTATTCCCAACCACAGAGGGTGGGAACCATTGTCCTGTAGCAGCTGATGCCTCGGCCCCTCCCCTGCCGTTGAACGGTTCAGGGGCTGACTCTGGCCCGCCCCAGCAGGGCATGGCCAGGGTGAGGAGGGCACGCTGAGGGCAGAAGAGCACCTTGGGCAGCACATGCCAAAGCTGAGCAGGAGACCCATCTTGTGCAGCTAGCTCAGAGTCCAAGAGGGTCTAGTGCAGGGTGGATTGGATTTAAATCACTCGGCAGGAAGACTCCATTCAGTCATGGATTTCTACATAAAAGTGCATTCTTGTTGGTGGCGATAACCTTCATACACGTTCTTCACAACTCAGAGATAGAGGAGAACGAAACTGGGTCTCTTTTACGGCCTGCTGCCAGCCTAGGTTTTCCCTTCTAGTGAAAGAATGGTATGGTAGATCTCAAATCAATGAAGGCTACACTCAGAAAGACCTCAAGACTTCTGGAATATGCTGCACAAACAGTTGCACTTCTGTTTCTACTGCCTGTCCCTCCCTTCTCATATTTATCTCCAGACTTCTCCTTGTCCAGATCTATTCTGCCCCAACAATCTTCTAGTCATTGAACTTTTTGAGACTTTGCACTTTTAGAGAGAGGTAAGGGATTGACTCTGTGTACACAAATTTGCAGAGGGACCATAGGGTTGAGGGCTGTTATTTCTCACCTCTCTATATTATTTATTTATTTTAAAACATTTTTGCTGTTAACAAGCATGTTACCTCTGGAGAAACAAATCCACAGTTTGAGAACTGCAAAACTAAGCATCTCTGATGGTGTCTTCTAGACTGAGCACTGAGTCCCATTGGGTAGATCGAAAGATTAACCTAAAGAATCTATACAGAAGCCCCTGGAACCCCACAAGATTGAGTCTCTAATCCATGAACTATTGGAACTCCTTTACAAAACTGTTCTTAAACATGACGTGACTATATTGTCTCATGCTGTAGAATTAGAATGTATAATCCCTATTCCATGAGGAGATATCTTTGAGCTATAACATATCTATCTTTAGATAGGTTTTTCCCCTCAAAAAGCATTTTATCAACAAAAAAAAAATCAATGTTTTTTTTAAATCAGATTTTTATCCACCCTGGCCTAGCGGCCAGAGCACTGGACTGGGACCTGATGCAGCTCCCGGCTTAGCTGGACTCTGCCGGCCTCTGGGGCTCAGTCACATGGTGCTAACGCCTCCCTGCCTCGCAGGGGTGAGGGACAATCCCACACCTGAGGGTGCTGCTCAGATCCCGCAGGGCGGGGGCGGAGGGAGGGAGCACGAAGGAAGGCAGGCAGTCCTCGGAAGCAAGAGTTCCTGCCCTGGCCACCTCTGTGCAGCCACCTAGCTCCATCTCCCCAGCCCACACTCTGCACTACTTGCGCGGTCATTAGGCTCGCATCCCCTCACAGCACGCAGTCCCCTGGGTCTCTCTGCAGCTCAGTCCTGGGCTCCAGTTCTCAGGGCTGAATCGGCACCAGAGAAACTCCAGGCACAGCCAGGGAGCAGGTGCACGGGGGAGCAGGTGAGCTTAGATGCCAACAGAGCCTCTGGAATCCCTGCACTGGACTGCAGCAAAGTGAGAAATGCTTGAAGCATGGCGGGTGCCTTGTTGCTGCCGTGACAGAAGCAGCTTGTCAGAGCCCCAGGAAATACTCTGCAGAGCAGGGACTGAGATGCCAAGTGTGACCTCTGCCAGGACCTGCACCAAACAGCCTGAATGCAAACCCTAGCAAGCCACAGGCAGAGAGAATGCCTCAAGGGGGCTGGAAAACCAGGCACCAGGACGAAAAACTGCAGCAAGAGAATCTGTGCACACAAAACCCAGCTTCCGGTCAGCGTCTCTGTGCGGCCCCCTTCAGAGCCCACAGCAGCGAGCGCCAGCCCTGATGCCCAGTGCAGTTTGGGAACAGAACTGGCAACCAGTGAAGGGGACTAGCAGCTAGACGGAGTCCAGAGCCCAGAACAACTTGCTAGGTCTAATCATAGTAACAGCCACACTGGGTCAGAGCAAAGGCCCATCAAGCCCAGTGTCCTCTCTGCCGACAGGTTTCAGAGTAACAGCCGTGTTAGTCTGTATCCGCAAAAAGAAGAACAGGAGTACTGCCGACAGTGGCCAGTGCCAGGTAACCATCAAGTGATCCATCCCCTGTCGCCCATTCCAGCTTCTGGCAAACAGAGGCCAGGGACACCATCCCTGCCCAGCCTGGCTAATAGCCATTGATGGACCTATCCCCTGTGAACTTCTCTAGCTCTTTTTTGAACCCTGTTATGGTCTTGGCCTTCACAACATCCTCTGGCAAAGAGTTCCACAGATTGACCGTGCTTTGTGTGAAAAAATGCTTCCTTTTGTTTGTTTTAAACCTGCTGCCTATTGATTTCATTTGGTGACCCCTAGTTCTTGTGTTATGAGAAGGGTGTCATGGAGTGTGGGGGGGACACAAGGCCCTGCACCCCCGGCTTCCTGCGATTCACCATGACTCTCAGCCAGCCAGTAAAGCAGAAGGTTTATTTAGACGACAGGAACACAGTCCAAGACAGGTCTTGCAGGCACAGACAACAGGACCCCCTCAGTTAGCTCCATCTTGGGGTCCCAGGGGCACCACAGCCCCGTTGTGGGGTCAGAGCCCTGTCCGGGCTCCCTCCATTACCAGCCAATTCCTAAAAACTCCAACTCCCTCCAGTGTCTCTCACGTTACAGGCTCAGGAATCCTCCCTCAAGGCCAGTCTCCCATCCCCCAATGCAGACCGTCCCAGCCAAACTCCCCACTTCAGCATTCAAAGACCACAGTAAGAACAGTCCCAGTTCTTCACAAAGGGGAAAAATAACATTTCATATTTACTTTCTCCACATCAGTCATGATTTCATAGACCTCAATCATATCCCCACTTTGCAGCCTGGAAAAAAGACAACTAAGTCCCAGTCTTTAATCTTTCCTCATATGGAGGCCGTTCCATACCCCTACTCATTTTTGTTCCCCTTTTCTGAACCTTTTCCCATTCCAGTACATCTTTTTTGAGATGGGGCGACCACAGCTGCACACAAGATTCAAGATGTGGGCGTACCATGGATTTATATAGAGGCAATAGGCTATTTTCTGTCTTATTATCGCTCCCTTTCCTAATGAAGCCCAATGTTCTCTTCGCGTAGCAGCCCTGGTCAGCATCACCCCAGCGCTTTCTGCACCAGTTCCAGGAGAAAGCCTGGGCTTCGGGGCTTCAGAGCGGAGCTCAGTCAAGCAGAACCTGGGTGCAGCTGAGCTCCACACTGCCAGGCTGGCTGCACTGACGGGCTAAAGAAGTTACCTGCCCACATATGATGAGCAGAGAGAGGCCCCCCCCAAAGCTATTTTCACCTGCCTACGACCCCCCTGGCTGAGTGCACAGGGGGGCGGCTGCCTGCAAAGCACTGGCTTTCGGCCCATGCCCAAAAGGAGCATTGGCAAGTCAGGCCGGAGTCCTGGCCCAGGGCAGTGTATCCTACATCTCAGTAC